AATTTTAGAACTTTAGATACTCTGAGATACATTCTGATGCATTTCTGGTAATAGCTTTTTACATCTACTGATCCTCATGTTTTTTAGTGTGTTTAACAATTGAAATAAAATCAAGACTTTTATATGTCAGGCCTTTGTTTTAATTGTGCACCATTATAGTTTTCTGTTCTAGTGTAAAAACACTAGGTACATGATAAAATGGGAAATTTTGAATGCTGACATGTCCAACGTAACTCCCCTTTTCAAGGGAGGTGATAAAAATTGTCCCAGTAATTAGACCCATTAGTCAGTTGTGGGAAAAGTTTTGCAAGGTCTGTTAAAAGATGCTTTGCAAAGTCATTTAACAAAATTTTTAATTTTATTGGATAGTCAACATTGTTTCACTAAGGGAAAATTTTGCCAAACAAATCTTTTAAGATTCTCTGAAAAGGTTACTGCTTATGTAGATGAGGGTAAGGGTGTAGATTTGGTGTATCTGGATTTTTAGAAAGAATTTGACAAGGTACCACATAAAAGGCTTGTAAAAAAATTATCTATATAGGTGTGGGGGATAAGTTAACAAATTGGATAGAAGAGTGGCTAGATGGAAGAAAGCAGAGAGTTGTTACAAATGGAGTTCAGTCAAACTGGATTAATGTCACAAGAGTGGTACCTCATGGATCAGTCTTATGACCTTTGCTCTCTTTGATTTAACATAGATGAAGGAATAGTCACTAAATTACTTAAATTTGCAGATGATACTATGGTCTTGGGTGGTGCTAGCAATGATGAGGATGCTGCAGATTTACAAAAGGATTTAGATCATGTAGTGAGTTGGACAAATAAATGGCAGATGGGTTTTAATTATAATAAATGCAAGATAGTGCATGTGGGTTATCATAATTTGAATTATAAGTATAATTTGAATGGAAATAACCTTAATAGTGTTATGAAAGAAAGGGATCTTGGTGTAATAGTTGATCAGTCTCTAAAGCCATCCAAGGAGTGGGCTGTTACTAGTGGTAGGGCAAATAGGATTTTAGGTTGTATCTATAGAAATATTGAATACAAGTCTAAAGAGGTTATAATTTCATTGTACAGGTCATTGGTTAGGCCACATTTGGAATATTGTGTTAAGTCTTGGGCTCATTTCCTTAGGAAAGACATTGAATTGTTAGAAAGGGTTCAGAGAAGGGTTACTAGAATGGTACCTGGAATGGAGGGGTTGTCATATGAGGAAAGACTGAAATCTCTCAAATTGTTTTCACTTTAAAAAAGAAGAGTTTGAGAGGGGGGATCTGATTGAGGTGTTTAAGACTGTAAAGGAAATTGATAATGTTGATGCATCATCTTTTTTGATATTTAACAGCCAGAATAGTAGGACTAGGGGCCACAAATATAAAGTTTGGCAAGGTAGAAGTCATCTTCAACTAAGACAGTTTCATTTTTCTAACAGGGTGTTTGGCCTTTGGAAAGGGTTGCTTTCAGATGTTGTAGAGGCAGTAAATTTAAGTGAGTTTAAGAAAAAGCTTGATAAGTATATGAATAATAAGAATTGGTTTTAAGTATTTTTTAAATTATTTAAATTTAATTTAGAGGATGGAACAGCCGAGATGGACCAATATGTCCCATGTTGTCCCAAAACATTGTTATGTTATAGTATTCTAACCATCTGTATGGTAGGCGATGGAAAAACATTCTGATGACACAAATTATCATTTACTGAATATCACTTTTAAGTATATTGTATTTAATCAATGCATATCTATATGAATATAATAGTACTGTCTGTTGTATATCCATGTAACTACTTAACAGGGTATGGATGGATCTTCACCAAAATTTGTATGGAGGTTCATTAGGTCTATGTGGTAGTACATACAAATTTTCAGTTTTACATTTTTTGGTTTTTATGGGCATTTTTGTGTTTTTACCACTTCTTTGCCCCCTGTTGATAGATCTTCACCAAATTTAGCAAGAAGGTTTGTTGGGTCCATGCGGAGGTACGTGTAAGTTTGCAGTTTCACATTTTGTGTTTTGCAGTTTTTATGGGTATTTTTGCATTTTTTACAATTACATATAAGGGAGACAACTTTTCATGTCCTCAAATAACCTTTCATTAATCATGAATTTACATAACTTCCATATAAGAGATGGGCACTCCAGCTAGTAAATCAATAAACTTAAATTTACTGAATAGAAGTTATATTTGTTAGAGTATTTATCTTGACCAAAAGTTTTGTTATCTAACCTGGTAATGGTACTGCCATTTTGAAAGGTGAGGTCCAGGGTCAATGATATATGTTAACCAATTTTTACAATTTATAGCCAGAAGCAGTGACTACTGTAATTGTTAAAATAAAGCATAAACTAAACTATGTTAATAATACCTGTCTAGTTGAAACTGACTGATATATAAAATGGAACTTTCTAATCATCAATCAAAAAACTTTTAATTTTCAGTGAAAAATAAGTATTTTTAATGATTTTTTTCAAAACAGTGCCTCAACAAATTTTTTCTATTTTACAGTCAACCAAATTACAGAAATAATGAATCAAACTTACATGAATTTTTAAGACAAAACTAGATTTATTTAGTAATTTATCTGAAGTCTCACACAGTTTATTTTAGGGTGGCCACTATGAGAAGAAAAAATCTGGGGATATCAGTAACACTAACTTACTATTCTGGACAGGGTTAAAGTTTTCGGTTTAAAGTTATCATTCTGATTTTGGTTCAGCTTTGAAATTACCAAATAACTCAATCATGGTTGAAATACCATTTAATACTATGACCTCTGAAGAATCTATAATCAACGTACTGACTGACATCAATAATTGTAAACAATATAAGGGAACAACAAAAAGAACCATACTAAAACTTAGTTGAATGGATCATGAACACTTTGCCTAAACAATCTATTGAATGAATGAATATTATCTATTTGATGGTAAAGCACAAAGGTACATTTTTGACATCTGTGTTGTGGACTATCATGATTTGGTTGTACTGAATTAGTTTTGTATTTTTGCCCATCTTATAATCCACCTGATAAAGTTTTTTACTGTCTTGATAGAATGCTGCCTGTTCAAGAAACAGATGGAGAGAATGCTGGCTAAATGCCTGGTATGTATATATATCTAAACAAGGGTTGTTCAAAAAGTTTATGGCCTGATCTAAAAAACACTGGAATGCAAAATTTTTTTTTTGATAAATATTAAATTTGGACCTTTTTATGAGTAAACGACATTGAACACAACTTAATGAGCTTATATTATGTGTTGCAGATTTCTAAAGAAAAGAAGTGAGCAGTGTTAAATGTCATGGCGGAGATCAAACTTCATGCTATAATAAAATAGTTTTGTTGAAAAGAAAATGACACTGCAAGAAATCAACCAGGGAATGAAAGCAACATAGAAGAAGGTGCTCCAGCATAATCAACAATGAAAAGTGGTCTGCTGAGTTTAAGCAAGGTAGACAATCATGTGAAGGCAATCCAAAGTCAAATGAGCATTGACCACAAAATAAATTGAAAATAAAGTTCATGATTTGTTATATATGATAGAATAATTACCATTAGGAAGATAGCAGAGGCAGTGGGAATCAGTACGAGTACTGTAGCAAGCATCTTGAGTGACAATTTGGACAGGAGTAAAGTTAGTGCCAGATGGATTCCAAAAATATTGGCACCCAAACAGAAATGATCTAAGTTATTGAAAGACAATGCTTATTCCAGAGGTTTCAATTAATTTGTAACTATGTATGAAACATGGGTTCACCAATTCAACCCAAAGATAAAAATGTAAAGTTTGCAATGGAAACTTCCAAGTTCATCAAACTCCAAAGAAGTTCAAATCAGAACCTTTTGCTGTGAAGGTCATGGCATCAACTTCTGGGGATGCCAAGAGGATTTTACTACCTGATTATTTGGAAAGGGGTCAAATCATTGCAGGAGATTACTATGCATCTTTAATCAACAACTTGCATCAAGAAATCAAAGAAAAATGAGGATTGCTCAAAAAGACGTGTCTCTTCCACAAGGCCAATGCCCCAACTCAAAAATCATGTTTCTTTGAACAATATACATAATGCTGGCTTCAAATTACTCAACCACGCCTTTACTCACTGATTTAGCTCCAAATAACTTTTTTCTCTTCCCTATCCTTAAAAAGCTTCTGAAATATCGAAGATTTCAAAGAGATGATGATCTCAAACATACTATCCAGTCATGGATGGAGGACCAAAAAGAAGAGTGCTTTCAGATAGGCATAAAAACCTTAGAGCACTACTGACACAAGTGTTTAGACTCAGAAGGAGATTATTTTGAAAAATAAATCCTAGTTTAACCAGTCTCTTTTCTTTACAGGTTCAGAAACCCCTCGTATGTGTGTGTGTGTGTATATATACATACAACCTGTGAAATGGTTTGTCCGAAAATGTTGTATATGTAATTAGTTTAATTTTCTTAATTAAGCCAAGATCATGAAAGGCTACATTTTGTTTGCGATTGATAAGATGCTGTGGTGTGTGATGAAAGACCTTTCTAACTTGATGAACTATGCCTAAATTAAAGACATGCTTTGTTGATATGATGGGTAATCAAAATTTTCGACTAGCTCAGGCTCTTTATTCAGTCTAACAATTAACAGTGAATTATATTAAACTTTAAACTGTTAATCTTACAATTTATACTTTATAGATGAACGTCCAAGTGATAAAAACGAAATACCAGAGTCAAGTTTAATAACTAACTAATGGCAGTAATGCATGACTACTCTAATGTTTTTCATAAATTAAGTTTAAAAATAATCCATTTAATTATTTATGAACTTACACGTATTTTGCCAACATTCACTAATAATAATACTAATGGTGATACTGTGTGTGACGCTCTGACAGCCAAAGACTTGAAAAAGTGTCAACCACACTGGTATTGTAGTAAGTAGTATATATATATATCTATTAAATTAGAATACTAAATATAATACAATTACAAATATAAAATACAAACACTGTACACCTACGAATTAAATACTGGTGCTCTTTTTCACTGTTGGCCTAATTAGTAATAGTAACACTACCGTACTCTATAACTTAAAATATTATACACCGTATCAAATTGATTTGTTCAATAAACCAGACTACAACACGAAGCACTTTTCAAGCCTAGAAAACAACTTTAACGCCATCTGAACGAAAAGGATCGAACTGAACATGATACAGCAGTACACATCTAGATTTTGATCATAAAAAGATTTAAGAGTATGTATTAGGAGTTTTCACTTTTTTCTTTCTTTTTTTTTTTTGCACAGTGAGTAGTGCTGACAACCAGAAAATGGTATTAAACAATTTATACATTTTATATTTCCTAATACAAAACATTGTAAATTATGTTATACTGCAATGTTTACTCCAGAAAGAATATTAGATATAACAACACTTATTCAAACACAAACACTTATTTATGGCTTTTAATGCTAAAAATTTGGTTTCTATAACTTTGGTGAGCATAGCATAGATAGCCCATTGTGTATCTCTGTGCTCAACTACAAACAAACAAACAAACTTTATACAAGTTAACGGGTATTTGAGTTTTGCCAGAAAAGATGAAAGTATGATTGGTTGCTACTATACTTGTACATAACATGATTTGCACTGTGTTTTGTAAGTGTTGGTTGGCTGTGTTTCAGTCTTACAAGTTGCGACATGAGATAATTTCTGAAAAATTAATTTCATAAATTGTATATCTGAGCATCATCAATATAGATGTGGAGCAACCCGACATTTTATTTGTTGTGCAAAATATTTTGAAAAACAGATTGAAATATTTTTCAGAACTAGGTTTTCTGAATATACTTTTTGCATTGTAGGGTATGGTGCCGAGAGTGAGATAAGACACCTCCATAAGAGGGCTGTTCTTGTCATAAGCAAAGTTTGTTGCTAATTAAAGTCAGCGGGGGAAGGAGATGTTGGTGATAATGAATTATCAAGGTCGATGGAATCAGGTTACACTCGCATGGTATTCAATCTATATTGGTCACTAGTATGGATACTCTCAGCATCAGAGCTACTGGTAGCCAGCAAGAGAAGACAGATGAGAACAGTAAAGCGTTGGAAAGATTGGAAGAAGACATAAACGAGAAAGGAGTTAAAGAAGACCTGCCAATGAACAGAGATGAATGGAGAAGGGCAACATTTGTGAAGGACGGCAATTCCTGATAAAGGGAAAAGCCAAAGAAATAATAAAAACTGTGGATACTCTCATTCCCTCTTTTCTTTCGTATTGGCACCATAGCTGGTGGCTCTGTTAGTAAACATCCAGACAGCAGTTGAGGGAATGCGATAGAGTCCAGGATATCTGCAAGTCATAGGTGTGGTCATGGGCGTCCGCGAGGGGGGAAAGAAGGGGCACTTGCCACCCTGGAAAATGAGATACATAATTCATTCATTATTCGTTCAGCATATGCATATGAATTTTTTTTATTCAGTTCACAATTTCACACTACCTCAGAAGCAACTAAAGTTATTGTCATATTTATGACCCAAGGATACCTTAGTCTATATGTAGTATGGATCGAGTAATGGGCACACTCAGCTCATCAACAATGGGCTCAACCTCACAGTTTTAATTTTGTTTTTACTTTGTCCTAATGGGTAATTTCAGAATGTAGTGTATTTTTGTAGTGGAGATGCTACAGCCTTAACCCACACTCTTGACCAAGTTTCTCTGCCTAATCAAAGTTTGTTTGACCCTTTATTTTCTATCCCGATTTTGATTATTTAAGATCAAATTCTTAGTCTTACTGGATAATTGGCAAGTAGTGTTTTAAGTATTATCTATTGTAGATACCTCATCGAATTGCTGAGATGGAAAGAACTAGTAGTGAGTCTTTTCTCTTTGGTTGTTGGTGAATCTTAAAAGTTTCCACCAGTGCCCTTAACTCCTGATATTGAACTTATTTTCATGTCTTCAGGGCCAATTGATGAAGATGCATTCCTCATCGAAGCATTAGAGATGCAAGCTGTGGAGACAGTGATTGTAGGGCTGGCCCTCTGAGATCCATATTGCCCTAAATCACCAACAGTCACCTCACCTTTGGCCATTCCACTAATACCTGATACCAAGGAGCCATGGAAAGTTGGTTCAGGTGAGCTACAACGTTTAGTGTGCCAACTGCCCAGTCGTCTATCACTCCCTCATAAACGACCCACGTTGATGCGAAGGAGCTGGAAGACTGAGAAACATAAAAAGGGGAAGCAAGTCATTGCATTGTAGAAAACCACGATATTTTGCAAAAAGAGATGATTGTCATGATATGTGTGCATGCCTTTGACAGGATAATAAAGTTTTTAATTTGAATAAAAGTTTTCCATAATTAAAACAAGTGGAGTGGGAAGCAAACTCCAATACCTCTACTACCATCCTGCCAGTGGAGAATGCATCAAACATAGCAGCTGTCACTGTGGTAGTAGTCTTTACCAAGGACATTTACCTCTACCACTTCACCAGCTTTGCTCCTAAAGAGACATCGGAGAAGTTAGTGCTTCCATAAAGTCCCCAACCAGGTGGACAAAGGCTGCAAGCTTTATAATCTCGAGAAGGCCACATGATAAAGTGATGAGAGCTTCCAATACAGTTAGAGGAAAAGTGCATTAACTTCCAGAGGGTCTGGTGCAAAGTTAGAAGCACTGATGAAAATGGGGGTACACGCCGTGTACCTAATTCTCAGTTTGCATTATTGTTTCCATTGGTCAAGTTTAGTACTACTGAAGATATTTATTAATCCTATTGTCACGGGTCAAAAGCCATGTCATCGCGTTTGTTGACTTGCATTCAAACTTTTATTGAACAACTATTTTATGAATTTATGTCCATAAGTTTGGTATCAGATTGTAAATTATCATTCATTTTTTATTATACTGTTACGTCTCCGTTTGTTAATTAACTTTCCGTAACTTCGTTCCGACGAAACTTTAGCGACATAAGTCCTTACTTAATAAAACT